AATTAAAAAAAAATTAATTATAATAATTCTAAATTATATATATAAAATTAAATTATTTAAATCGGTAATTGTTATTTTCGACGCCAGATGGCTGCACGTACACATTTTAAATTTTAAAAGAAATGTGCTAATTGGTTAATTTAAAAAAAAACACTTAAATAATTTTTACTTTATGAATGAATACTATTATCACCCTCAACCCACCTTTTATTGTGCGTATCCGACCAAATTACGAATAAAAAGTAACAGATTAATGATCCAAAACATCCATTTAAAAAGATTAACAATAATACATTTCTTTTTTTCTTTCTAAGATTAACTGACATGTAGACATTTTAAATGGAATATCGAATTTTACAATATGAAAAATAAGCATATGAAGCTACTTTTAGATAACAATTTAGTTACATTAATCCCCTTTCTTGTGTAACCTTTTGACAATTTCAGATGCCAAACTTTGCCCTTTTTTTTTCTTTAAATCGATTTCAAGTGAGTAATTTCCATTTGTAGAAGATAATCGATAAGAAATTTTGCTGTTGATGTTGCAGGTTTTGACTAATGGATCGATGGATATGGTCCAAATTCATCTTCAAACAGCTACGTGCAGAGATTATCGATAAAACTGACCTTTCGAGGAAAGACAAGAAGAAAGAGAAAAGGTGTGCAAAATAAAAAATTTTCTATAAAAATTAAAAAAATATTTTTAATGGAAATCATTAACAATATATTTGAACTGTTTAAAAACCATAACTGATCTTGACTTTGCGAGAAATGAAATATCTCGATTATGCCACATTTTACACTCGTAATTTTAGAGGTGTTCGAAGCATAAATTATATATATTTTATATATATATATACAGTATATATTTTAATCAACACCACAAACACATTTTGGTTTTTTTTATTAAACATTTTATCAGTTCATCAACTGATATGATCCATTCGTGGTTCATAAATTGGTGAACTGAAATTATGTACGTTCGTCGGTTTATGAACGGATTTTTAGAGCGTTGTATCAGTTCATAAACTTAATTAAGGTTTGTAATTTTTACAATAACAATATTTCCTGAGTTTTGCACTTTTTATACACTCTGACTGCTTTCCATATTTGTTAATACGACTGACTTCGTCTAGTACCTTGTACGACTTCTCGTTGATGTCGTACCTAACTGTAGCTTCAAACAATGCATTACCGGGTATAGTGCTAACAGTTATTAAATAGTCGACTGGTCCAACAATTTTTTTACCATAAACTACGTGACTATTGATGACATCGTGTTCGTGATGATCGAATCTTAACACCTGATCATTAGCCGAACCTAAATGAGCACCCACAATAGAAGATAAGGTTAAATTGAGACATTTATCACTATAGGAACTAGTCCATTCATTGAGGGTATCCACTAAAGCATTAGCTGCACTGATAACACCGATGTCATTCACTGGAATGGGAATGTGGATTTGGCATGTACACCAATGTGGCTTGATAGCAGCATCCTCGCAACTTCTTTTCGAAGGAACTTCCTTGAGTAAACTGATCCCGTATGTTGTAGCGTTTTCAGGAAGATCATTTGGTAAATAAAGTAAATGCATGATCGTGGCATGTAAATCGAATGGTGTAGTTAAGCGACGTTCGTTTATATGCAAATTTTTAGCATATTCTGGATATTTTTCGTAGAACCATTTAGGAAATATTAAAAACACAAATGGCATCCTCTCTTCAAATTTTCCAATGTAGGTTTTTCGAATATTACCGAATCGGATGCCATGATCACTGAAAAACAACACGAAAGTATTATTGAAGACTCCATTTTCGTGGAAGTGAGTTAATAATTCTTTAGATGGTAGATCCGCATAACCTGCAAGATTCAACTGATCGTGAGTCAATCTAGCTACAAACGTAAATGCAAAGTACGGCCGTTCAGCCATAGTTTCTACAAAGGTTTTTAAATAGTCAAACATTACTTTCATCTCCATTTTTGATTGAAAACAATGAGCTTTGGATTTTTTCCTCATTTCAGATCTTTCTACCGCTACAGAAAATGGTCGCAAATAATAATCAGCTGGTGGATTGCGGAATCCTCTTTTAATGTAATTAAAAGTAGCAATGTTTGGTGCATCTTCAGCCATCAAGGTGCGATATCCATGTTTGGCATAGAGTTTCCATATCAAATCGACGTGATCTAAGAAATCCTTCCTTCTACTTTCGTTCCAATAGTGAGATATGAAGTGACCGGATAAAAGTGGAACTATATTGGGAAATGTATTATCTCCTACTTTGTTATATCCGTGAAGTTCGATTGCGCCTAGTGTTTCACGTAAATATTTTAAAGTCCGAGGAAGATGACGATAAAAATTAAGTTTGGATATGGAATCGATACCCAAAAGTATTATGTTAAACTTATTGGGTGAGGGAATGGGCGAGTCCTTCTCTAATTTACTTTTCTCTTCTTCCAATTCTTCTTTCAGGGGAGTCAAAGGGATATATTCTGTATAAAACTCTCTTTCTTCGTTAGCACAACTGACTAAGATAAATTCAGATTTAACTGGTTGATCAAATAATAATTGGCAAGAATCACCAATTTTGTACTTATCATCGGTAGGTTCTTCGGGAGTACCAGGATTTCTCGTAATTGTCCTGAAATGACAAGTGATATTACTCGGAAACAATCCGTAATGCTCTAAAAGAATTCTTTCGTTAATTTTAATCACAGCATTTGGACGAATTGATAAAAATGACGGTCTGCCAGGGCAGAAAAACGGTTCCTCGTGTCTCTGGAAGAACTTTTTAACACTGGCTTCGAATGGATCCCACTTTGGAATTCGGCAACCTCTGGTATCTATCAAAAAGCCGTCCTTGTCAAAACTATGCCTAACATCGATCACCGGCTGTCTCATGAACAGATCTTGAGAGTAAGTAAAATAAAGTAAAAATGCGGCCAAACCAAAAGTTGCTATAATTAGAAAAGTTTTCTTCATTTTGTCCTTATGATTTCTTCAAGGACATCATAGTCCTCAATCATTAAGATCGATCTAGAAATAAAATAAAACATTTCAATAATTAATTTGTAACTCTATACATTAAAAGATAGACGAAAAAGTATAATATTTCTTTCATTAAAAGCTTCCGATCGGATTTAATTAAAGCAAATGATAAATTATTGTCACGTTCTGTTTTGCCTTCCTTTACAGACTCATATCACGGAATTATATCACGAAACTGTACGCAGAAATCAAATTATCTTACAGAGCTAAGCAGATGGTTAGCTTCACATATTTGTATGAGATCTGTTATTACATTGCTAAGGTAACGTATATAACGGATAAACACATATTTTGCTAAAAATATAATTTTATAAACTTATAACTGATGAAATTTCAACATTGCAGCGGTCAAGGTTGGTTAAAGTATTAACCAATGGATATATTTATCACTATTTAATTCTTCTTAATTCATAAAAACAATACATTTTTTTTAAACATTTAATAGCAATTGCTCGTCATTAAGCTCTTCTATAGGAAACTCGATACGAAACTTTTAATAAGAGATTATTTTAAAAATTTATACTTACCTATAGAATTTACTATACTTTAAACAAATTTTTTNGCCAGCATTTTCGGTGTATGTCAGGCTATCCTTCAGCAGCTATTATATAGAGCATTATGAATGTGTAGGTTCCATTCTTCCAGTCACGTGGTTTGAGTTTCATTCAAGCACGCTGATTGCACTCGTACCTGAATGACGACACTTATCGAAGCTCCAATGATATTAATCCAATAAAATTTGAATTTTTATAAAAATAAATTCAGTTTTTTCCCTTATTCTTTGTTTTAAAATTCGATTGTGAAAGACTTTCTCCACGAAAATTTCAAGTATTAATACCCTCGGTTACACCTTTATATTCGAGATTTCTAGCTTAAATTTATTCTTAGAAACTTGTAATATTTCGTATAAATTAGTAATTCATATAATAATTAGTAGTAATAAGTATTAATTGTTTAATAAACTGCTGTTTCACCTAGTGACCTTCTATAAGATATATAGGGTTACTAATTAGAGTAGGACATACAATGTCATCTTGAGGATAGAAAATGAAGTTACTAGGTGATTTTGTCAAGAAGCCAAAGATTTATCAAAGATACAACGATGTAGGTGGATAAATTATGTTCTTGAATGAATAAAACACTTGTAGAATATTTTAAAAAAGGAACCAGTTTTGTTATATTTAAATTCAGAAAAGACTAGAAAATAAATTTTTCATAAAGAAGACTTGGAATAAATTAAAGAAAATTATTATTATTGGATTTATTTAGTTAATTTCTAAAGTTTTTTACTCATCGTAATCGATACTAATTACACAAAAATTCAATAAGTTTGGATAAATGTAGAATTGAATATTAAATGGTTTCCAGCAGGGTAGGAAATTACCAACTGAACAGAACAGCGGGAGTTGAGTGAAAATAAAATATTATATGTATATATATGTATATATCATGCTGGATCTACTTAAACATAAATCCTTCTGTAATCAAATGTCAAATTTTGATGAATGGAGGAGTGTCTGGTTCGTTTAAAACTTATCACCGATTAATATTACACTGGTTTAGGTAACGCAATACAGGTAAGTAGAAAAACTATCCAAACAGGTTAAAATCCAATTTGCAAAAGAGTAACTATCGCTGAATTTTAATGATTTCCGTATCATTTCGGCATTTACATCTTCCTCCCTATCAATTTTTTACCTACATTAATATATATTCGTTTACTTTGAGTAGGAACGTTGTAACTTGTGAAAGAGAAAATAATAAGTCCAAGATAAACAACTTACAAAATCTTTTTCAAAATATATAAATTCTCCGTTGAAATAAGGAAAATTTGAATAAATAATAAAATATATATATTTTATTTGTTTATTTTTCTTAATGAAATCGTTAAGGATTACCGAAACGAAATTATAAAATATTCGTGATTATCGATAACGTAAGATTCATTTCTTTTTGAGTTTTTATAAATTTAATTATTAAATTTATCATTGACTTAAATTAATCGATTGGTAATTATTGGTTAGATAATAAAATTAATAACCAGAAAATAGGTTATTTGAGTTTTGGTCTACACCAATAGGTCAAGGTTGCTTCATATTACACCTTTTCACATGGGAGACGATCATGAACCTTCAGAAAATTTCCCTGGATGTCAGAAGGTGGGACAGAAGGGGTGGATATTAGGTCACAAAGTGCATCAGCTCCCGATACGCCCGACATTAGGACAGGTGCGTTTGTCTGAATGTCTGAAAACACATCCAAACAAGGTCCCAAACATAAAAATTGTGTAACTAAGTCTAATGATAGGAGCACGTCTCGCGAAAGTCTATTGTAAATATCATAAAATATAATGTATTTAAATTATAATAATCGATATACCGATACATTAATTTAAGGACAGATTTCGCACTCCATGACTCTACTGCGTAGACTCTAAGTAAAGTCATTACGTCATTTTCTTAGATTATTTTTTTACTCGAATGAAAAGCGTAGTTTCTTTCCTGTCAGAAATCAGAAAACTGGTTTCAGTATTTTGAAAGAACTAAGAGAACAATGGATAAANGCCAAATTTTTTATGATGATTGCCACCCCTAAAATAATAAAAAATAAGGGATTTAACAGGTAGATTACCTAATAGTTTATTAAAGCTTAAAAATTAGTGTAATAAAGTAAATTAATTACTACTTTTTATAGAAATTAAGCGAAAAATCTCCATAATAAATCGCCTCTTCTGACTGATAAACATTTTACTAATTTATATACGGTTTGAATGGTAGTTTATTGTCAAATATAATGTCTAAATAATTAATAGTTTCGGTGTATATACTTATGGCGAATAGATAAAGTTTAGTAGGAAATTTTTATAATTTTCAAGCCAATTTTAAATATATTTACGTCTATTTGTATATGAATGATAATTAATTAATTTAATATCATGGGAGTAGGTTTTATATTTCAGTGAATGTAGAGTAACTCTATACTCTATAAAATGTAGAAAAGATCCCTCCAGGTAAGTTGTGTTCAAAATTATTGATTATTTCGTATTGAGTTTGTAAGAGATTTGTAACTGTAGATGCATTTCGAGGGGGACCGTAATGTTGCGAAGAGTTTAAATTAGAGATAATTGAGAATTAAATTAGTTTATACATACAGAAAATTCGAATATTTTAAGCATATTTTAAGTTAGCTTAATCTATATGCATATAAAAATTCTACATATTAATGAATATGTATGAGACTTAAATTTATTTTAATTTTTTCCATGTATAATTAAATGTATTACTTATGAAAACTATATGAAGAATGTATAATTTATCAATTTTTAAATATATTTCCTTAATTAAAAAAATAATTTATANTAACATACACTAAGAATAAAATGCAATTTAATTGTTAAACACTCTTCATTTATAGTTAGAGAATGCGTTAAATATGCATTTTTTTTTTTTTTTCAATGTGAAAATACCTCCTATTGCCATCTAGCGAGTAACATTAAAGTTAAATAAGGATAAAACACAAAAATTAATTACAAGGTGTTTACTTACCTGTCAAGTATTAACTGTAGCATAAATCTATCTAGACCCATAATCTTCGCATATAAAATACTAAGAAAAATAAATTAAATATTAAATATAAATTACAGTGATATAAAATATATTTATAGCGTATTTAATGTTTAATGCAATATGCATTAAAGACGTTAATTCACTCGAGATCAGACAGAGAAATTAATTAAAATACAAATTAATTTATATTTAAATCGTTATTTTTACATGAAAATCAGACAAATCAGCAATAATTAAAGAAATGATTTTGTAATTGTGCAGAGAGATTTTTCTCTTTAATATTTTATGGCTTTAAATGAGTGAAATTCCTTTGATACCAGAATAAGAAATGAAATAAAATACAATATTTATATTTGTTTAAATCACTATATTTACAGAAAAAATATATCTGTGTAATTTTTATTATTATTACTATTAGTATTGTCTATTTTATACTATTGTACATGTTATTCTACTCACAAGCTATGTATCATATCGGTTGATTTATATCGGTCATCTCACCATACTTCTCTATTGTCATACTGTTTGTACATTATTATATATGTATTTACCTGTGCTTTAATATATATCTCTGTATTTAACCCGATTATGCTCTGGCGGTATCGGGAATAAATAAAGATAAAAGAAAAATTCGAGAAATATTTAAAGAAAATTCTATAATTGTATAGAAAGGAATGATGAGATTTCTCCTTAATATTTTGTGGCCTTGAAGGAGTGCATACATCTCGGGGGTAAGTGTCAACGTACAAGGATTGCTCAAATATCGATCGATTCTCTCTTGACTAATGAATTTCCTAAGCTAAAAATGGCAATTTCGTGATGTTTTCGAATATTGTAATTGGAAATTGTTATATAAATTGTATTCTTATAAAATTAATTATTAAATATAAAAGTTAAAATATAATATTAATTATTTAAATTTGTTTTTCAGTTTGTTACCGTGTTGAAATGTTTCTTCAACACGCGAGAAACATAATAGAAAATTTAAATATGTAGAAAATATATATATTAATAATACTTTTATTTCTCAATTTATAAGTATTTTATTTCTATTTTCAGCATATCAACAAATTCAAAATTTAAAAATTAATTGTTAAGGACCTTTTTTTAAATATATAATTAATAAACTACAATAATTATTTACTTAAAAGTAATTAAATAATTGCTTATAATCACACTAAAGTACTGAATTAAAATATAGTTTTTTTTTTTTAATTTCTAGTTGATACTGTATTTAAAATTATGTAAAAGAAATTATCTTAGGATAAAAATGCATTATAAATTAATTCCATTTTGTACATAATTAAATCACTTTTAAAATGTACATTGAAGTTTCTATATTAAAATAATGTAAAATCTATTTTTCCCCCTGTTATAATAATTTAAATTATTGTTTTATTGATAAAATTACACGAGGAAAAACATTCGTGTACTTTTAAAAAATAATAACTTCATTATTATTTTATATTTACATATTGTATATAAATTAATAACGAAATTACATTGCCATATATTGGAATTTCGAGTAAATATTTTATAATTACATAATTTAAATAGTTATTTTCGATTCGGATAGACATCCGATCGTGCACATTTAAAATCGGATGTGAGAAGAAAATATAGCACATTTTTAGGCATCATGAGATATTATTATAAATATGAGAAATGAATTTATATTTAATACAAAATATATTTGTGTTTCCTTACAAATTAAATAATAAAGAATTTAAAATTTATTTAATTTTAAGACTGGGTGGGGGGTTAAACTAATACGTAAATATGATGAAAAATAATCAATAAACTATCGAAAGATTAAAAGGTAACGTAGACGAATGTAAAAAGAGCTGCGGATTCGAGCCAATTGCTTAATATTTACTAAATCTTATATATGTCTAAGCTAAATAGTTATTAGAGGAATTAAACGTTACTTATATTGCTTACTAACCAGTGAAAATCTCACTCACCTCCATTGTTCTGAAGTATGGATAGTAGACATGGCTGTGCAGAACAATCGATAAGAACAGTTCCACCCCTTTCCGGCCCTCCCTGCGGTTGCTACAGCAACTGTACGTTTCTACTGCGATCATTTCTGAAGAAGACGTGTCCTCTAAGCGGCTTGACATTAAAGCGGTTCATACTGATCTTGAGGTATCATTCATCCCTAGTATGGTTTTTTAGTCAACCGCATCTTCCTTATTTCATCTTCTTAAACTTTTCATTATAATAATAATTAAATAAATTTGAACTGTAACATACACTAAGAATAAAATGCAATTTAATTGTTAAACACTCTTCATTTATAGTTAGAGAATGCGTTAAATATGCATTTTTTTTTTTTTTTCAATGTGAAAATACCTCCTATTGCCATCTAGCGAGTAACATTAAAGTTAAATAAGGATAAAACACAAAAATTATATTTCGAATTTTATATTTAATTCATCCTCAAAATGATTTATTACAAGGATTTTTTTTATCGCAGAATTAAATTTTTACATTTAAATATTAATACGAAACGTTTGCATAATTTAAAAAAGTTAGCATTAAATGAAATACTTATCCAAGCTACATTTAATTCTAATTAAAAGTTGCAAAGATCAAATATAATGTTAATCTTTGATATTTAATAACAAGGAGTATTGTACGTTCTCACCCTTTGCGCCGACTTGTCTTCTATTATGTAGCAACGAAAACGTTTAAATTTAGAGCGAATTATAAATAACTTGAGGACCAATTTTGGCAAGAAGCAATGACACCTGCCATAAGCTTTGATGAATTTAAAAATTATATATATATATTTAACAATGCCCTCGAGATACCTAACATATACTCTATTATGTATTACCTAAGTATAAATGAATATATTATCCTTAAGGATTTTTTAATATATGATAATTTATATTTAAGACTGTATAGAATCGATTTGAAGTTAAAATTTGACACTGTTTACACGTCCTTGTTTTTGAAGTACGTCATAAACAATGTACAATCGATACCATTATACACGAATCTCACACAGTTTCCTGCGATTTCTGATGATAAAAAGCAATGCATCTTATAAAAATATAAATATTAATCTAATTAAAATGATATTATTATTACCTAAATTTCATTTTTTTCCGTCCTCCTCAACACATTTCGAGTTAGTGTTTGGTTTACATAATGTAAAACTGAAAAAACACACCCTTTTTTTTAAAAATTAGAATTTCCTGGTTCATTATCATAATAAAAACAGAAGGAAATTGAAGAAGTACTTCATTAGTGATTGCCGTTTTCGTATTAACTAGTTAATACTTTCAAAACTTTCTTGGAAATTTTAAGATTGCGTTATATTCAGCGTGACTTTTGGATTTTAGAATGCTCAAGTTACAAAATTGAAGTGTTTTGCTATGTAAATTATGTTTTCGTTGGCCGCTTTTGTAGTGTTTTAACTGTTTTCTAAGAAGATAAATCCTAAAACAATTATAAATTACAGTAGAAGTTCGTTAATCCGGCATCTATGAAATCCGAGTGGTGCTGGGTTACCGGATGTTTGCGTAATTATGTAAAATTTCATAAGTGTGTGGACATTGCCTTAATTTTCTTACCAGTGTACACTGCTGTATGCTTCCGATTTGTTTACGTACGCTATTTAATTAATCCGAATATGATTGATCCAAAACATCCATTTAAAAAGATTAACAATAATACATTTCTTTTTTTCTTTCTAAGATTAACTGACATGTAGACATTTTAAATGGAATATCGAATTTTACAATATGAAAAATAAGCATATGAAGCTACTTTTAGATAACAATTTAGTTACATTAATCCCCTTTCTTGTGTAACCTTTTGACAATTTCAGATGCCAAACTTTGCCCTTTTTTTTCTTTAAATCGATTTCAAGTGAGTAATTTCCATTTGTAGAAGATAATCGATAAGAAATTTTGCTGTTGATGTTGCAGGTTTTGACTAATACGTAAGAGCAACATAAATATACATAATAGTTAACATGATATGTACAGTGAGAATTCGCTTATAAGAAGCGTGCAAAACAAGAGGAGCCGGTTGGAAGCATGAAACAGTTGTCGTGAGAAAAGTTAGCCAGTTGATCAATCATTACTAGCAGACTGCTGATCGCTGGTGGATTGAGTGCTGCTGTTGTTTCCAGAAACTTGATGAGATGTCGATAAACATTCGGGTCTTCCATGAGTCTGCTGTTAGGGCATTGCCAGTTGTTTCCGGCATGGAGCACATGCCCCATGAGTCTGTCTCTCTCCTGTTTAAAAAGTTCACAGTCCTACAGATAATGCTGGCTGTCTTGGATTGAAGTACTGTTGCAGGGGCAGATGTCCGTGTTTTTAAGATGAAACTTTTTTAAATAGCTATTGATGACCAGTAATTAACTGGGTCATGAAGAAGATTGGTTTGAAGTGTTTCCATTTAAGTCTTTCGTTAACGTTTGGAATAAAGGTGTGCGTTAATCTGCCTGTAGATCCATTATCCCATTCTTCTTGCCATTGACCAAGAGCGAATTCCCAAGTCCATTGCCTGATTTTCGAAACAGGAATTTTGTTGTAGCAAGGAGTAAGGCTGGAAGCAGCGGCCTGTTTGGCCAGCTGACTATGCTGCTGTGTTAATTAAGATTGATTTAAAAACCTGCTGGAACATTAATGAACAAAAGCAATGTTTATGATAATTTGTGTGCTTATAATATTTATTTTCCAGACATATAATGTATTTTCGCTCGAACTTCAGCGTGGTGTCTAAATAACTTCCTATTGGATAATTACCAGACATTTCGGATTATCGAATGTTCGATTAATGGTTTTTATATTATTGCAATATATAAAACTGATTATATGTAAAATTAGCATCGTATAGCTTTTATTTACAGTACAAAACTTTGTTTTATTATCGTAAAATATGTTACACATTTTAATTATCCGCTAAGTAAATTATCTCTATGTAAATCTAAAATATTCGCACGTCATTTAAAAATGATATTTTTAAATTATTAAAATCTAAATTGATTAACTTTAATGATAATTTAAGCTTGTAAAATCCGGAATCCGTTGGCTCGTAGCCATCTTGACTACGCGCGAATCTTAAAACAAAGAAAAAAAAGTAAAACAATAGTTTAGTAGGTCATGACAAACTGTTATTCACGTTACTAAACATGCAAAACATCTCGAATGTAGCGAGGCGCGAGCCGTTTAGCACATTAAACTCTTCAGTATATATATATATTTTAAAAAAATTGTATTATGGTTTTAAATAGTAAAAAAGTCTACAAGAAGAGTAAAGGAATATATAACAGATGATCTTGAGGTTTCCGTTAATACGAGATTAGAGTGAAATAACTACGCTGTCCCTTTAATAGGTCCTTTCTTTTCTTCTCATTTTTAGATTCTTTCCGCCCCTCCAGTATTAAAAGGGCCTTTTAAACAGGTCCAAGATCAGGCTCACAATAGGCCTGATCCTGTGAGGCCTATTGTGAGCCTAATCTATTGTGAGGCCTATCAAACAGGTCCAAGATCCGACCAAACAGGTCGGATGATGAAATATCTTATCACACATTTATATCACTGTTGTTTTAAATAATTGCGATTTGATTCGAATGCAAAACACTTCTTTTGAATTAATTTGAAAGATCTACTAGCTCACATTTTCCTGTTAAAATTGACCAAATATGGTTTGAATCCAGAAATTAATGAGAAAAACCACGACAATGATTTCCTACAATCAGAAATTCTAATTTGACAGACAAAAATTTTAAGTAAAAATGTATAATATCCAGATATGACTATATAATTTAGAATTATAAAGGTGTAGAGCTTACATTTCAAACAATATATACAATCCTATGATGCAATGCTATCGATGCAACAAAAATACTTTTAGTGGAATGTTTCTAAGTTATTTTTATTACTACAAAAATAAAGAAGAGAATTATTTTTGAAAGGAATGTAATATACATACCGTACTTCTCCATAAATAAATTTCGTGATAAATCATTTATTCTTTCTTACTAAACAAATCTGTATATGTATACATTATATAGAAAAGAAATCTTATATCAATACTAACTTGTAAGCAGTAAATTATGATGTTATTATGAGGCAAGTTTATTATACCAATTCAAACAAAACACTATAATAAAAACAGTAAAAACATTCCAGTATATTTATGTATCTATAAAAAATATTTTATAAATATAACAGTAAATTGTTTAAAGACACTTGCGTATAATCTCAATGCGTTTAACCATATTTTATTGCTGATTCATACTGAAAATATTAGTATTTGTCACGCTATTATCTTCACTTATTAAAAAAAAATATTTTTTCAAGATTTGTAATGATTTATAGTATTTTTCCCTTTTTTTAGTCTGTACAAAAATTTCTAGAGACGTATAAAATAATTAATGAGCTTAAGTTTTTGCTTTTATATTGGAACAAGATTTGAGTTTATATTGCCAATATTAATTGATGAAATTAGATACACCTGAAAGTACACTACTAATATTTTTGTATAAATTAATTTTATCTGTTTACGCTCTGAGGATATTAGTAGGACTTTTTCTCATGTCCACTGCGGTCATAGGTTCGGTCGAATAATGAGAGAATGGGTGCGACATTCAGACCAAACAGGTCGATCTAACACCGGAATCATGACGGACGATATGCTATATAAATGTCCGTAATCTTATACTATATATTTCTTTAAAACGGCATGCCTTAAAGACCGTTTTCATGCTCATCTTAAGTTTGACCAGATCTATAATGGGGAGTAAGACCGGGAGATAAAGAGCCCAATAAATTCGGATCAGATCAACCATCAAAATTTGTGATGTTACTTCCAGAATTCTATTCGCTGTATCCAGAATGTTAAGTTGAAGTCTTTTACTGCCTTTACTGTCTTTTACATGAAAGACAGTAAAGGCAGTAATTCTCCCACTTCAGGCCTTCCCATATTTAAACCTATCAAAGGGAACCGAATCTTACCTTTTCATACTGCAGTGTATCAAGATTGCCTTGAAGTTACAATACAATTTACAAATTTAACTGAAAACGTTACCGAACATCCTTTATTCCAATATAAGAACTATAACAAGCAAATTTAAATGTAATTTTTCATGATTTCTCTTAATTTAATGAGTCATATATTCATCTTATTTCACTATTACAATATTTAAAAGAATTAAGTAATCATTTTCTAATAGAATTGCTTTAATGAACTGTCCATAAGTATAACCTTAAATTAAGATGAAACCATTTTAAGTTACTTTTAGATCTATTTTAAGATAGAATCAATTTACATTTTAATAAAATTACAAACCACAAGATATTAATCGTCATGCTTACCAGATTGAAATTCAATAATTATTGACCAATGATGATGAATTTATAATACATGAAGAAACGCCTTCTATCATCAATTATTTGAAATAACGGTTTTTACAAAAACCGTTATTTGTCCGTTAAAACTTCGGCTGTTTAAAATTATGTCGTCATCTTATTCGTGTTTAAAATTTCACATATCGGGTTCAGAACCAATCCCTGAAGCATCATTTGCTCATCATATGTAATTTATAGACAATGGCATAAAATAACTAAGGTAAACATCCTGATAAAATTAATTATTTATAACAGTTTTTTAAGAGTATATTTTTTATGTCGCGTACAAGTGATATTACATTGCTATTTTCGCGAGAGGGTCCTTTAGCCTATATATATTTGGCTGCAATTTGAAAAATTGTCGACCTATAAATGCCTACTGTCGTTTGTGTGTCTGTCCTTCCTTAATCTCGAGAACAGAATTGAATACATAAAAGGTGAGACCAGATGTGGAAAGATTGGGAGTAGTAAGCCCCGATTAACTATATAATAAGTTTCGATGAAAGCCAGCAGTTACGTTATTTCAATTCGAAATTTTTCTCCTAAAAGGAGTTAAATAGACGACTCAATTGCTAACAGGAAAAGTATGATGTACAAGAGCTTGATAACAGGAAAAATATGATTTACAGGAGCAAGCCATTACTAATTTGGAGAGAATATATTTTAAATTAAATAAATTAAAAAGTATTACGAAATTATCAATGTTTACCCTATATACTTAGTGTAGCAGTAAAAAACAANAACAAATTTATTGTGCAAATTTTCAAGTTTTTTCTCTAATAAAGTTTGTTGTTCTTTCCAAAGATTTTCAACAACAGTTTCTTTATTAGAAGAATTTTGAATGCTTTTCTGAAAATGTAAAAATATAATTTAAGATAATTTTGCATTTCATAAATAATACATGAAAAATGCAAATATGGGATAGTTTTCTAATGATCTATATTATTATTTCTTCTTATGGATAAAGTATAAAGTCTCCGTTAATTAATTACAAAATTGATCTGTTCTAACCAATTTTAAAATTTAAAAGATAACAAATTTGTTTCTGCCGACTTAAATGCATTAATTTAATTGGTAATAATAAAGTTTACAATTTTATTTATTATTTTTGTTTTAATTCGGCTGCAATTTCAAAAAATTGTAGACCTATAAATTCCCACTGTCGTCCGTCCGTTCGTCTTTCATTAATCTCTGAAAACGGATGAAGGATGATACCAGATGTGAAAACCTTACGGGCAGGAAGTTCCGAAAAACTTCCTATGCAGACCAGAAGTCATGTTATTTCAATTGAAAACTTCCCCTGAAATGTGTGAGAGAGATGACGGCATGGCTCTGATGTAAAAGGAAAAGTATGATGTACAGGGGCAAGCCACTACTAATTTGAGATTGAGAGCATATATTTTAAATTAAATAAATTAAAAAGTATTACGAAATTATCAATGTTTACCCTATATACTTAGTGTAGCAGTAAAAAACAACCGGGCCCTTGACGTTTTTCATGATGTGTTATGGTTATGAACAATTGTATTCTGAGATTGATAAAGTTGGAGAAAATTAAACCATTAAACCAAGAGCATGTATTATTATTTTCCGAGATGTGTAAGTTATTTAATTTATTGATTAGTATAAATGTTTTCAATATTTCTATTAGTATTCTATTATGTTTGATTTACACATAACCATAAGAAAATAATAACAATTAATAAAAGGTAAAAATCTGATTAATTTTAAAAAGTGTATGACAATTCCTTTCTTTTTATACAACTTTCTTTCTGTACCTAAAGAACTCCAGTGAATTTACTATACAAATTCATATATTCATGTAAATGAGATACATTTTAATAATAATTAACTTATTATACATTTGCAATATTGTTAATTCGTATCGACGTTCGCTTTAATTCGTGTATTGTTCGTGTAACCCCGCTTTACGACCTATCTGTAACTAGTTTCTGAAAAATCGACGTTACTCGAGCCGTCTCTTCTTCATAAACTGTATGAAAAATTAACATTATTTCCATAGAAATGCAATTTTAATGCACGTAATAGCAATAAAATAAAATATACAATAAGTTTTTACTTATCTCTGTTTAGTATTATGCTAGTCAAATGTTTTATTAGTCACGAAGCAGTCTACTATATTTTATTTACATTAAAAAATTTATGAGTAATTTTAATTTTATTTTGTGCTTTTTAAATATACTCTTATTATAGTGTTATTTTACATACAAATATGACTCATAACATAGAAGTATAGAAACATTTTGTATTCATTTAAATTATTACCAAAGAATTCCAAGTGTTTTTATAAGAATACTGTATATAAACAGAGTTTTAATTTAAATATTTTTGATAATATAAAGTTAAAAAGTATTCGCAATGAATTAACAGCAATTGAAGTATTTTCTGATGTAAATAATATGTACAGTCGACCTCCCTATAACACGGGTTCCTATAGTTCGGATTCCTATATGACGGCGAAAAAATTGCGACGGTATCAGTACAAACATGATAAAAAAACTCCTATAATTCGGTAAAACGTCATCGAGCAGCCGAACTACTTTTCGCCGTCCAGCGCCACGCTACGGAGAGTTTAGGCGAGTAAGTTGAGTTTACTATCGTCTGTACAGTATGTAAATTAGGTACCGTAAGTCTAATACAGCACTAATTTTATACATTTCTTGTGAAAGAAACATTTCTTATTCAACGGCCATAAAAATTATTTATATTAATGATGTCTCCAAAGTTCAACGAAGTTTTCGCAGAAAAATAACTTATCAGAAATCGCGCCCGCCGTTTGGTGCGCTGCTCCGCGACGAAAACAAGCTTAAGCAATGGCGACGTCGAACGGTGCACACTCGGTAAGAAATCCTACAATTTTTTGTTTATAGCATAGTTTATACGGGTTATTCCCAAAAAAATATACGTGTTTTGGAAATGTTGAGTCGAATTAGTCTAGGAATCGATTAATTTTGGAATCGATTAATTATGGAAGAAAACTTTTCAAACAGCCGTAGTCGGTAAAGATCACACGTGTCGGGCTGTGATTGGCACGGACTCGTACAAAATGGATTCATAAAGAACGGAACGTATCTACCATGTTATAGGGGGGTGACTGTATTATCATTTTTCAAGATGTTTCCATATTTAAACAGTTTCTATAAAAAGAAAAATCGATATGATATTTTTAAATTAATGAAAAAATGTATTCTATTTATAGAAATATATTAAATTATTTACAAGATACTTAAATCTTATTTATAAATATTTAATGCCACTATTTATGTTGAGAAAAACTACAAACTGACGTAATTAAAAGTTACAACATTTGATAGAAAAGAAAATAAAATTACACTTTAATTTTGCTGCCATAATTTTGAGTTATGAAGGTACTTTTTCTGTTTTTTTTTCAATAAAGACATCTACCTAAACACCATTTATATCTATTTTTTGATGCATATATACTTATGCAACCTGCTGAGAGGTTGCCTGGGATAATTGTCAATTTTTCCACTATTATTGTACAGTACAATACAATTTGAAAATCTGAGATAGAGTCTTTAAAAATACATGTGGTGATTTATCTATGAAGTTTTTTTATTATGCTCTTATACTTGTATTTGAATTCTTTTGTTATTATTAATTTTTTGCTTTTCTTTCAGTTTTGAAATATCATCTAGTGCTGCCATCGTTGCTGAGATTTTGTGCCATATTTTTGTATTAATTATTAGGATTTTTATCTTCCTAATTCGGCTGTGTACCGTAAAATTGCCTAATTTGGCATTTACAATTACCACATACCAAAAACAGTGGTATTGTAAATGGTACTTATAAATAAAAATCCGACATTATGTCAGATGTCATATCTCAATGAGCTAATCCCTAGCTTCCTCGCTAAATCTCTGTTAAATAGGTACAGATTATGGTGTGTAAAATACTAATATTGTCAATTATCGGTATATTAACGAAGAAAATTCTCAAATTACCAGTTTCACCGATTTTTAATTGCACTTTTTTTTCTTTGGTTGTTATACTGTATTTATATCGACATTATCAAAACCGGTATTTACAGTAAATACATGTTTCCACATTATAGTATAGATGCCAAGTCATTATACCTTATCTCAAAATCTTGTCAATTTATCATATAAAGATATTTAATATTTTATTATTAATTACATCATGTTTACTTGCAGATAAGTAATATAGTTTAAGATATTTAAATAACAATACATTACAAAATGATTTCGAAATAAATTAACTTACTTAAATACAAAATATCTTGGAATGTATCAACAGAATGGCGAAATAATTTCTCGATTTTAAACATGAGAAACATTAGATATAGCCTATATATTGTAAATTACATCAGCCGGATAACCGGAGTATGACATCCGGATTCAAAGTTAAAACTTTATTAGACAGATAGGAATTGATAGAAACTCTATTGAATAATAGGAGTCAACGGTTACATAAAATAATTGAAGATTGCAATATCAACACTCCAGTTTACATAAAATCGAGTAGTCCAAGTTCCAGAGGCTAAAAGACAGGATGGTTAAATCACTGGAATTTCATAAATATCTGCTTATTTTTAAATAACGAACAGTTCGTTTAAAAATATTCGATGCTATTCCTTTAAATATTATAATCACATTTAACAAATACAATTGTAATTTTAATTTTACAGTTATCTAACTAGACCTATCGAACTTAGAGCAGCATTTATATCAGATTAATCAGGATAAAAGAAAAATTACGTTATATTAAAGGCCACACAACATTTAATCAAATTGCCTAGAGAGTAACTGGAAAATCCGTAACTTCCAAGGCCTCGTTTAGTGCCTGGTGTCATGATCCTGTCTTCATTACTCCTTCGCTAACCTTGTCCAAGGCTTTACTGTTAAATTAGCATAAATACCTAGCTACAAGAGAGTATCTCAAATCATGTAGAGTTATTAGTAATTTTATAATTATATTAAAAGTCTATATTTACTTTTAGCTACGGTCGCTGGTTGTTGTCTTTTGTGGCTTCTAGCTTGGCCAGATAACAATATAAAATGGCACTAAATTGATTTCGCAGCCATGAATTTTTAGTTATAAACGTAGTTTGCCTGGTTCTTATGCAACCTGCTATACATGTGGCTTTATAAGGTGCCTCTAAAATAAGACATGGGGCCTTGCGATTGTAAAAGGTTACCCACCTCTGGCTTAACTAGACAGATCGAGTACAGCGAGGCACATTTACATTCATCTAGATCAGTGGTGTCCCTAGCCAAATCCACTACAAAAGACTGTCATACTAACATATTTGACACATCGCTTACATGATATATGATAGAAATATGCCTAATTTTTGTAAAATAATAATAAAATATTTGTGGAACCCGCCAATCGAAAAGTTCGGGCACCACAGATCTATATGGCTTTCAGACTTTGAAACTTACGTGTAAACTTCATTACTCTTTATTAAATTCTTACTAAAATGCTTCAGTTTAACGCCACTCGTATTAATTTAGAATAAATGATGAAGCTAAATCGAAACATGACTAAATTTTATAATTTAATAAATAGTTCACGTCCTTGTTTTTGAAGTACGTCATAAACAATGTACAATCGATACCATTATACACGAATCTCACACAGTTTCCTGCGATTTCTGATGATAAAAAGCAATGCATCTTATAAAAATATAAATATTAATCTAATTAAAATGATATTATTATTACCTAAATTTCATTTTTTTCCGTCCTCCTCAACACATTTCGAGTTAGTGTTTGGTTTACATAATGTAAAACTGAAAAAACACACCCTTTTTTTTAAAAATTAGAATTTCCTGGTTCATTATCATAATAAAAACAGAAGGAAATTGAAGAAGTACTTCATTAGTGATTGCCGTTTTCGTATTAACTAGTTAATACTTTCAAAACTTTCTTGGAAATTTTAAGATTGCGTTATATTCAGCGTGACTTTTGGATTTTAGAATGCTCAAGTTACAAAATTGAAGTGTTTTGCTATGTAAATTATGTTTTCGTTGGCCGCTTTTGTAGTGTTTTAACTGTTTTCTAAGAAGATAAATCCTAAAACAATTATAAATTACAGTAGAAGTTCGTTAATCCGGCATCTATGAAATCCGAGTGGTGCTGGGTTACCGGATGTTTGCGTAATTATGTAAAATTTCATAAGTGTGTGGACATTGCCTTAATTTTCTTACCAGTGTACACTGCTGTATGCTTCCGATTTGTTTACGTACGCTATTTAATTAATCCGAATATGATACAATGTGTGACTATGCTGTGTTATTTATTTATTTTTTATTTTTTTATTTTAATTGAAAGAGGGGGTGCCTCCAGGTTCCACTCGTAGGTACGACCTGGAGGTTGNTTTTAAAATTGTTTAAATTTTACAACAATTCAAAATTAATAACTAGGTAGGCCTACGTAATTTGTAGTATTGTTATCAAAATAAATGTATACAAGACAATTAATGTAAAATCTTTAGATAACATGAAGTTAAATATAAAAAATTTTTTAAATTTTTTAGATAATAAGAAGTCGGGTGTTTTAAAGGTTCAAAACATATAAAAATTTGTAATTTAATGGATGACAAGTAAAATGGGCAAAGGAATTTTATGGTTTTAACTTTCAATAATCTGTAATCTAAAAGGCATGTTTTTAAAAAATAAACATGACCTTATATGTTTGTTTATATTATTGTAATTTGTGAACTTTTATTTTAGTTGGCTGAAGAGGGGCAAGGAATGCCCGAAACGTGTAAAAATACAATGAACACGTATCAACTGAATAAAATTTAATGATGAGATTTGCCAAGTGTCTGAATAAATACAATAAATAATTTGTGTTTGAATTACTAAAAATTACTGGCACGGTTTCAAAAATACCAAAAACATTTCCTGTATGATAAATCCAATATTTGTCAAGTTGACAAATTTAAGAAGTACAATACAATCGACTCCCCTATAACACTGTTGATTATTCCGTTTTATGTGAATTCCATGTTGTACGAGTTACTTAGATTTTACAAATACGTGAGCCGTTCACAGCCCGGCACACGTATTTGTAAAATCTAAGTGAATCGTACATGGAATTCACATAAAACGGAATAATCAACAGTGTTATAGGGGGCGGTCGACTGTAATTCAATAAAAAGACAAGAAGCTTCATACTTTTATAATATTTACTTTTCGTATAGGATTATTTTCATGTATTAAAAACTGTTTATAAATATTCTTTACATAAAATTATCTTTTCTAAAGTGTAGATACACATTTATCAATATATCCAAGTTTTCTATAAATTCTTAACGTTACAGTCATTCTATATACAGTAATAATTTATATCCTGTTTATTTTATTTTGGTTTATATTTTATAAATGAATGAAGAAAAAAGAAAGTTTCCATCACCAGCGATTATTTGTCGATAAGCAGATAATGCATACGGTCTGTAATTATTAATCGCCACTTACGTGGTAATTAATGTATAATGTTCACTTCCTTCTTAGACGAAGCGGAATGTCTTATCATTTATATCTGCTTTGTACAGTTTTGGATTACCGTATACACTAGAAACTCTTAAAATCATATAATTATTTGAGTTTTTCAATATCCCTGTTATTTTTTCACTATTTTAAACATTCCTATATCATCATAAAAGTGTTCATAAAACATGTATTAAAAGTAATCTATATAATATCGTTTCCAGATTTTTTAAATATTCAAAATTTTTCTGAGAAGTTTATCTTGTTTTCAATCCACGAAACCGAAATAGAATACAAATATTAAAACAATAGAATTCGATAAAGCGAATAATTACTTCGTATTGTAAAGTATACACATAACATCGTTCCTATCTTCTCCCATTCTAGTTGATCCCATTGTAGGTAAACCTGACCTTATAGATATAATTGTAACGGCCTTATTAGGTCTGGTCTACAACGTCTTGTTGCATCGCGTAAGTGTTCCATTACATTGTAATCACATGAACGAACATTGTATCATCATGTTAGTTAGCAAATGCAGAGTAGCCTGTTGCATATTGCTTCTAATCTAAAATCGTAGCTACTAAGCCCCCTCAGCTTAGTCAACAGTCCTTCTATGCAGTATATATAATATATAATTTCAATTTTCTCGCATAAATTTAGGCGACAGTTCCTGTTTTTACATTAGGACTTTAGCTAATAGGCCTAGTGCTGAATGGAGAACGGAAAAATACCAGTCAAAATTTAGTTTTCTCCTCTATTCCAAGTGACTGTGGTAATTAAATTTCTTGAGTTGCAATCCAAGTATGCTCACCTTTAACCCTCCGCGTTAACTCGCGTGGATCTCTCAAACCTCACTATTTATTCCAAAATTTAAAATTATGGACATCATAAACTACGATCATATCTTTTATTTTCGTAGTTTGTCTTGTTTCGAACGTTGTAAATACTTGTGTTTTCTGTAATTTGATCCGAAAAAGTAAAAAAATAAACATTTCAAATTTCACTTAGCTATAAATGCCTCAGGTTTCGTGGACTGACATCAAATTTGTAACTGGAACAGGACCTGTTTGTTGTCTTTATGATTAAGGCAAAAAAAAAAGAAAAAAAAAAACATTTTTTAAAGGAAGATTAAATGCTTCAAATGACAACAATTTTCTTTTCTTTTATTCACAACCATCTTTTTGGGCTGCAATATGAAAAAAATTTTAGAACTATAAATTCCCACTTCCTGTCTGTCCTTCCTTAATCTCGTGAATGAAGATAAGTAGATGAAAATCGAGATCAGATATAGAAGGATTAGGGGCGGCAGGCCCCAATTAACTAAATAAGAACGTCTAGTTTGAACCAAAAGTCACATTATTTCAATTCAAAAATTTTCTCCCGAACGGAGTTAGATGATCGGTACGACTCCATTGTTAACAAGAAAAGTATGATGTACGAAGGCAAAACACTACTAAAATTGAGAGCATTTTGTATTTAAGTCCGGCACTGTGACAACGCCACAATAAATAACTGCTCGTCTTTAACATATAAAAGTCATTTTTGCCAGAAATGATTATTTTTATTTAAATATTTTATGCGATGTGGTCACGCAATTATCAAACGTCGATTAATTATCTTAATTGAAAAATCAATACCGCTTGAAATATTACAGAAAGGATCAAAATTTTTGCTGAGTACTTAAGCACGAATATTTGTTGTACGAGAAATGAAGAGATCGAAGAAATAATGCGTGGACCATCCAAAATTTTGCAAGCACGTGATAAATTACTATATTCATAAATTATTATTAAAATTGTATCAAATAAATGCATCTGCTGCGATGTGTTAGTAACACTGCTGTAAAATAAACAACAATTTTACGATTTTAACTGTTTGCATTATCAAAATTAATTTTTTTTTTCTAAATTTTTGTCACGTCGCGTTGTCGCACGCAACATGGCCGCTCCCATTTAAAAATTATTTAAAACTGAGCAGCGATATTATCGCTTTGTGTTTTTATTGAGCAGCGATGGAGAAATAACAGAGAATAGATACAAAATCTAAGGAATGGTATTGAAAATTACTATTGTATCGCGTTGCACTCGTGTGATTTCATAATGTTTCAAATAACTTCACATTTCGACCGAAAATCGAAAACATTAATTGAATTTATATAGGAAACTACTAAAAACATATTGATAGAAACATAAAATAAGATTCATAGCTGCAAGTGAAGCCACGCTTGTGACAATCGCGTGCTGTCACAAGAGCAACGTCCACGACGTTTTCCTGTAATGGACAACGGGCAAATATCTATTGAAATAAAAATACTTGGGGTCTGTCAGACCCCAAGTATTTTTATTTCAATAGATATTTATGCAAATAGAAAAAACAAACTGTTTCATATCGATGGAAATGCAAAATTTGGAAGCCTGTGATGGTGACAAAGAAAGACTATGCTACTCCTGCAACTCCATATTAAGAAAATTAATTATAAATAACTAAATTAATGCAAAAAAAAAATTAGAAAATATTTGAATACAAGTACGTTAATACGAATATTAATATAATAAAATAAATCATTTATTTTAAAATATTTATTTGACAATTTATTTGAACATAACTTTGCAACAATGTAAAATTTGTGAAATTTCAACAGTTCAAAGTAAATTTTAGATATTTGCATGCATAAAATGGTCACTGATGGACCTAAACAACGTTAATAGTCGAGCATAATAAATTAGTTGTATTGTAGGCTTAATTAATTGTCATGAATACACACACTGCAAAACACGAAGATTGAATATCTCTCTTAAGGCAATTTTTTACTAACATTTTGTCAAATTACAAAATTTTAAAGATTTTGTAAAATATAAAAAAAAACAAGTTCCACAATTATGATGAAAGTACATCAACTTACAACAGATCTTTATTTGCATACTACTGTTGATGTGTAGTATTTTTTTTAATCATTCCTGTACTTAAACTTCTGCAAAAGTTGCATGCCAATTATATTTTCATAATAGTAAGCTTTTACAAATTGTAAGAAAAAAATTGTAAAGCTAGTTTTGTCACCTTAAATTCTAACGATTTTATAAATACATTTGTGCACGTTTTTAACGAAACAAATAACGAAAAAAACAGCAACTACTAATCAAGTAACAAGCGGAAATCTAATTACAGGAAAGATAAAAATCCCCGCTCCCGCTATAGCCGATATTAGCATAGCAGTAATCTACACACTAAATGCTCTGTTGCGATTTTCTTTTTTATATTAAAATAAACTATTTCGTCAAAACTGTAAATCTGTATTTAAAAATTCTTAAAAACAATTAAATGCATTTATATTTATGTTATTTCTAAACATTAATATTTCAATTCGAATTTTATTTACTCAGTTTTTCCCTTTTCTATTTTTAAGAATCAGTTTTATCTTAATATATGCTAAAATAAATTAGTTATTTTCAGAATGTTTAATATCAAAGTACAGTAAGTGTTATGTAACTAGTCACACAGTAAAGGGACTATGATGTTCCAATCTAGATATTCTAATAGTTCAATGGAATAGTATGGGAGTTGACAGGAAGATGTAAACATTACATGTTAAAATCTGTCCTGTAATTCTTGTAGCTTGTAGAATGTGTAAATACTGTTTATGCTAATTGATTTATATATACTTGGTTTATATATACTTTATAATTTACTAGAATACAAGGTAAATTGATTTTATTCAATAGGCAAGATTACAATAATATTAGACTCTTAGGTATATTTATCGTAATATTCAAAGCGTGGTGTGTAAAATTATTATTTTGTAACTTAAGTAAACAATGAAGTGGTCAGAGCAACTTTGCCCCTAAAGAATTTGAATAGATGATATAATTTATAAATGCTAAGATATTCACAATATAACTACTAGCAAGCATTAAATAATTTAGATTCTGATTTTAAAATAAATTTTTAAATGTATAGTAAACAATGTGAATGTAGTAACATTCACACCTACTCCAAAAGGCTCCTGATAAATGAAAACAAAAATATTAATTTTTTTCTTGGGGCCTTGATCACAAGTTCCTAAGGCCCAAAATATTCTTAGTTCAACACTGGTTATATGCTAAATTAAATGCATCGTGGATAAAAATGAAAAAAAACGGATAAATTCTATTTTTATTATTAGATGGTTTAGCTATTTAAGTAAATAAATATAAGAATGTTACATACCAAAACTATTTCCGTTTAATCGTTTAATCATGGCAAAAACAGTAATAACTAGACTTAGATACACAGACACACACATGTACTTCCAAATTAGTTAAACTGTATATATATATAAATCAAGGTCTGACATACAATAACCCTTATGCCTATTAAGAAAATCAAATAATTCATAGAGCATTAAAGAAACTAAAAATAATATTAATCACAATCATTACAATCACCTTTTATTACAATCAAATGGCAAAATAATAATAAAAAAAAAATCTGGGAAAATAATAAAAATATTTTAATGTATTAAGATATAAAAATTTGCTACAATACTACTTTATATACATATTATAAGCAGTAATTATTTTCAAAATATCTTTCGCATTTAATAATAAATAAGGTATTTTGTAATGTGCAATAAAATATTTTGATATAAATAAATAAAAAAAACATTTTATTTAATGGAATATTAAGATTCTTAAAACACAGAAATTTGTAAAAAATTATAGAATATAAATTAGATATTCGTGTTTTTCATGTAACTAATTATATCTGCAGCAGTTTTAAGTGCAAATAAGCAATGTTTGCTAAAGGCCTGGTGCCTTTACAGGCTTCAAACATGCAGAAATGTTTGCTTATCGATAAAATCAACCAAAATCTGCCAAAAAAAAAATTTGTAAAACTCTCAAATTATAAAAGTTAATTTATTAATAGTGTTATTTAAATTTAATATTTTATTTTAGTAAAATATTAAAATGAAAATAAAATAACAGCTTGAAATGCTATTATAGTAATTATAATTTCCAATCTCTGGAATTTTATTTGAATTCAATTCTACAAAAATAAATAGGAAAGAAAAATTTTAATCTGGTTATAATTATATTTCAAACGGTCTTATTTTATTAATAAATTAAATAAATAATTGTGTTTATCTCATTGCGTAAATTTTATAGCAAGATTTAAAACAAACAATTACGTGTTTAAAAAAATATAAAACTATTAGCAATTTTTTTGAAAATTATCACATAATTTTATTATTTTTTACACTATTTTATGTCATATAATAATGTTCAAATTTTTAAAAATTATATATTCTCAGTTAAACAATTTTCCAAAATATTTCTATGTACTTAATGCATTATAGCGATAGAATATAGGTTCTCTTTCTATAACTACAAAATTAATGTTCATAATACAGTCATAATAAATTATATTCAAAAATAACATTAAACTTTTTAATAAATACACTTGAATAATGTTTAAAAATCATTAATAATTTAAAATAATTAAAGCTTTTACATGTACAAGTACAATTTCTCAATAATTTAGACTCTGTAACTTTAAAAAAATAAATATTTTATTTTGGACAGACATATTGGTATAAGTAGTTAATAAAATTTTAATTTACCATTAATAAAATAAATTAATTCTAACGTTTTAAATGAATTAAGGAGCTTAAATGCCCTACTTACACAGAACAACTCTCCTCCTCTCTAATTTATACTATTAGAGCAATACAAGGAAATTAACAGGAACTTTTATAAATCAAACAATGTAAAAATCAATGTTAGTTTGCTGCATATGACAGGAAAGATTGTGCAGTGTTAATTCAGCTGCATTCAGTTGAGTAATTGAAGTTGCAAGTAATTTTCAAAAAAAAAAAAAAAAAATTAAATTAATAAATTACATAATAAGATTTATTACCACAGTTTATTTTTAAGTATTTTAATTTATTGATTTATATTTATATTACAACTATTCTAATAAAAAATAAATAATATAAATTTTTCTTATAAGTATGTGGTGGTTTTACAAAGTGATAATTATTTTTCAAGTGGATAATGTCCTTGAAGCTGGAAACTGTTCTAAAATTAATGTATGTTATATTTAAAGCCTTACAATAAATTTTCTGTTGCAGTTTTAATTTGTTATTTTTAAATAATTATCTAATATTTCTTTTCATACAATAAATTATTTTACAGTGCTAATATAAATAAAAACTAGCTTTGAAACAAAAAATTAAAATATCACAGTAAAAAATTAATTAATTAAAATATCACAGATAAAAAATTGTGCTACTCTTCTAATATATTGTATAATATATAAAAATATATTAACTAATACTACATAAAATATATTAAATAAATTTATATTAATGAAGAAGTCCCAAGGAATCCTTGAAGAAGTGGAATGATTCTAAGGGAAGATACATCAGCTAACATACCCTACAATAGAATATTTAAAATAATATAAAATTAATATTTATTTTTATTTTAAATTTTCATTACTAGACTTACTCCAAATGTTGCTTGATTTTCTGCTTGCAGTAGAATTGGTTTTCTGAATGAAAAAATAGCAGCTGCCAAGACTAGAAAATATTATATATTTAGTTGAAATAATATTTAAATATATAAAAGCTATGTAATACAAATAAAACAAACCTCCCAAAATTTCTAATGAATTATATGCTAGAACCTGATCCCACAGTAGAAGAATTTGATCAGCGGCTAAATAACCTGAATATGCTCTCATTATCCACTTTATCACAACTTTTAACCTGATAGATTACATTAAATCTTGAATATTAAAAGATGTTATCTATTGATTTTTTTCTGATTAACGTAAGTAATTTTTACTCACGGCTGAATATCATGAGAAGCTAAATGATGACAAAGTTCGGGTTCAGTTTCTTGCAGTAGTAGTTCAAACAAAAGACACAAAGCCAATGCACCCTAAATAATTATAAATTTTATTAATTTACTTCATAAATTATTTAACTATAAACTAATGAAATTATAAAAATACCTGAGTATGAGAAGAAACTGTGTGGAGACGGAAAAAAAATCGACAGTAAAGTTCTCGATATACCAAATACAAAGTTACAGGATCTTCATACAGATAACATAATGGTGCAACTGTTAATTAATAAATTTATTATTCAGATTTTGTTTCTAATTTAGTAGAATTATTATTTACTCAATGTGTAATTTTAAAATAACTTATAAATATGATTTTGTAATAAAATATAATTTTCTTAAATATCCCAATTAATTTTT